GCTATCCAGCCAAAGGCTCTTTGCAGAGGTGACATCTTCCCTGCTCTCCAGCCAGCTCTGTGCTCCAACTTCCACACCAATCTCTTTCACCATTTGTCAGCAAATTTACCACCTCCCCTCTTTTCTCCCACTCCTGCTTTTACCCACACTCTAAGGCAGATTAGAGACAAACCCTCCACACTAAAGAAACAACAGCCTTCCCTCCATATGAACTGAATCATTCGTCCCCATGCTCTCAGCCAGGTGGATTACAAATTTGATCTCTCTGACCTGGTGCTCAGATTTCTCTTTCTCTTTCCTCTTTTGCCATGGTGAGGTGCTAACATCCTCACTTTTGGGTGAAAACTGAGAGCAGGTACCTCTTTGAAACCATTTTTGCAAAGGCTGCATGGGAGAGTTTGGATTCTGCACAGGACTGGTCTGCTTCTGCTGTCCCCATCCATCCCGTGTTGTCAGACCATCCGACAGCTATCTCTGGTTGTGTCTGCAGCATCCAATGGCGTGAGCAGCCACGAGGCTCACACAGGCAGCACAAGGGGACGACTGGCAGGGTGGCCAAGCCCTGAGGCAGTATGTGCGTGGCCAGTGGCAGCTGGGCCAGCGTCCCCTGTACCAGCCGGAGCCTCCAGAGTGGCCTCAGGGTGGCCTCTGAGCTCTGTGACACACGGGACAAGCACGTCCTCTGGGCCCTGCCCCTCCTCGGATTCGTGCAGGCAGGGCAGCTCTGGCTGCCTCCCGCCGGCGCCTGCTCTGAGCGAGGGTCTCCTGCTCTCCTCTCTCCTGAACACACGTGGCCCTCACGAACCATCCTCACGCTCCCCCTTTGCACAAGGCCCTTAGTCTGCTCGGTCCGTGGACCCAGGGCACGCACTTCTCACGTTTCTCCACCTTAAGGCATTTCTGCCATGAGAAGGATTTTCTGTACATTTGTGTTGTGGTGGGGGTAGGAACAAGAACTGTCACGAGCACCTTAAGGAGCTTGTCATGAAGTCTAACACTAGCTGCAATGTTTTGGGGAGTACTGCAGTGCTGGGAAGGGGAAAGCTGGTGCTAGCAGCCTAAACTGGATCACAGTCCCTTCCCAACCTCTTTACTGGAGTATCCATTTAATATACAGCTCTCATGGTTGCAAATTGCAAATCGAGTTTCTCATGAATAAATATTAGCAAAGGCAAAAAGAGATTTTTAGCATAGAGTTAAAATCATGGGAACAGCTGAGTTTGTGAAACTTTCACCCTGTCATGATGTGGATCCATCCTGTCAGAAGTCACAGTGGACATTTAAGCACACCATCCATTTGGTGTAGTAAGAGCTACTCTAGCACTGGGAACAGTGTCCAAAGAGAACCAGATTCTTGAAAGAAATCCCCCAGGTTTTCAACAAGATCTTTTTATGATTGCTGGATCCCAAGGTACGCCCAGGCTGTGATTCCTACAGTTCAGGGGCATGGAAAAGGAGACAAAAGCAAGTGATCACTTTGGTTGTAGATTTTTTAGTCTGGAACAATTGGCTGATTTGTACCAGCTGGTTATATAATATTTTGTATAGTATTATATTAAGATTTATTATATCATGTATGATGTGTATTATGTTATTAGAATAACAGTGACTCCTTAGAGCTATTTCCACAAGCTGGAGTTTCTTATGATCTTGGGATATCATTCTGTAGCCAGAAATAGCTGAAGTACAAAGCAGACCTAGGCATCCCCAACCTTTAATGAGCTCTGTTTCCCTCCTGAAAAATACACGTTGCCTCCCCCATGACAGGGCTGTGTGAACCAAACTGGCTATTTGGCTGTCCCTTCTGGTTGTTTTTTTTTTTTTGCCACCATAGGTTTGAAAAAGCCCACGGTGTATGCTGTCCAGAATATGGTCTCACTGAGAACACTTGCAAATATTATCTCCATCTGTGGTGAGAGAGAACTTTGAGTATGATTTCTTCTGTGCTATTTTGAACACACATCAGTTTATGGTAATACTCATTAATTACTACTGAAAATTTTATTTGAAGAATACTGATTCACAAATACTACATAGGACATGGCCAGTCATCAGGCGCATAAGCAACGTTTTAATGGCTGGTTTTTTACATTAAAATCAAAGTGAGATGGATACATGAGAGCCAAGGATGCTAAATTACATCAGTGTTTCCTGGACATCCTAGTAAATCTTAATGTTGAGTTCCTGGGTAAGTGGGGCAGAAATCCATAAAGTGAGTTTCTGTAGAAAAAGAAAAGACATAAAAATAATGAACAACTTTATGTTAACTTAAAAAAAGACCAGCTCAAAACAGAGAATAAGGGAAACTTGAGCTTAGACCTTCATGATTCCCTTAACCTCATCTGATAGGCAAAACTGACTTGACGACAGTATGTATTTTCTACTGCTGTATCGAATTCAACATCCCTTTTAGATATTCAGGAACAGTTTAAAATTAATTAATAGTATGAATTAAATATGAAATTATAAATACAATACCTGTCCTGCTCTCTTTCTCTTTCTGTTCAGTGTAAAATAACATGTATTTTATGCTACTTCCATAATTTCCATTTTCAGCACTTCATCAGTTTTATCTTTAGGTTTCAGAATTAATAATAATTAAAATGCACGATATCCATTCACACTTCTTAGCTGTATTCTTTAGCTATTTTCTACTCTAACAGTCTATGCTTAGATCACTTATTCAAAGTATGTAATATTTTCATCTCTCATCAGAAACAGTTTTCCACCACTACTCGGTAAGCAGGAATTCCACTTCTTGGATAATTTGCCTTTTAGTCAAATATAGGGCTAGATCCAGACAAAAATACTGCAGCCCTATCCAAATGCTAATGCAAAAGCTCCAGGCAGCCAGAAAGCACTGCATGGACATTGGGAACCTCCTTGCACTTCCCAGCAGAGGATGCAAGTGGAAGAAAAAGGAGAACCCTTCCTATGCCCGGGTCACTTTGTTATCAGCACAAGCCTGGGCAACAGAAATGCTCTTCCAACATCCCTGCTGCAGTTACAGTACAGGTCCTGTGGCTCTGAGGGTATGCTACTCCAGGGGAAAAAATTATAGGAGACTCCTAATAACAGGAAGATTCTGTGATATTACAAATGTTGGATCAGAGTAGAGCTGCATGAATCAAAGAGAAAGAAGTGGCTTATTACTAAGCAAACTGCTTCTATTTATATACAAAGAGCTATCGCTCAGTTATACATTTCAGCACTGCCTTCAGGCAAGTTTGCGTTCCATAAAGCAAAAGCAATATGGTAAAAGTTGCTTTCTACTACATCCCTTCAAACAGTATGGTCTCTGTGCCTGTTAAACTATTATACAGTGTGTAATCTCATTAAGCCTGTGAGAAAGTGGCATTTGCCCTTTAGATCTTATTATTTTTTTTAATTACATAGAGTGTGAGTTTTCAAGATCTCAACCCAAGATGCTAGTGCTTTTTTTTTTTAACAGTAAAACATGAGAGGATTATAGGTAATGACATTGCAACACCTTTACAAGAATGGTGGGAGAGGTTTGACTGAATCTTTTAGAATTATAAAAGAAATATATTTAGCTGGATTAAATAATGTAAATTTTGTGCAATTTTGGACCTTCCCTACTACAGCATCTCTTTTCTCCATTATTTGAAGTAGTTCTGAAGTCACTACTTAAATCAAATTTTAAGTGATACTTTCGTGACCAGCTTTTTAGTCTTTCTCAATCGTCTTTTTATGCAATGCTGTTAGGATGCAGTTATCTTCTGGATTTCTGTGATTGGTATCTTCAAGCACATAGCAATGGAATGTTTTCTTTATCCTGCCACATTTATGTTGCTTTCAGCTTACTTAGAGGCAGTTTGGCTGTTAAACAATTTCTTCCCATGAGGCAGTACTGATTACACATATTTATGACATCGTCTCTGGAAGTGAGTTTTTTACGATTCTTCAAGGCAGAAATTTATTCTCAGCAATTTTCTTCCTTTACAGATTCCTTCAGTAGAATAAATGTTAGAATCGGGTGCATATGATGGGGATCACACCTTGGTGGCAGATAAACACAAATCATTAAGCTGAGTGGGTGGAGTCACATAGGATGTGGCATCCATTGCTTGTTGCTTCAGCTGTCTGTGGCTGAATGATGAGTTAATGGTATCGTACAGTGCTAGTACTGGGAGTTCCCTACATGCAGACCAGTGCTGAGATATGAGTACTACATCTCATACAAAGTGTGCACAACCCACTTCAACTGGTGACAGTTATGGGACAAGTGACCAGAGCAAAGGAAGTTTACTCAGTGTTGCTCCTTTTGTCTACTCTCCCGTGGAAAAGGAAATTTGGACCACAGAAGCTGTTGCAGATGGGTGTTTAGGGATGTTCCATGTGCTCCCTCTGTGGAGTCTCCTTGCTGGTGCTAGAGGAGCACTGCAGAAGCAAGTCATGCATTTTGATCTGGGACACTGAAGTTGGACTCGTTAAGATACTTAAACTGTAACTGTTGTCTCTCTGTAGTGATAGTTTCCTTAGGAACACAACGGAACAGCAGAGATTTGCCCTTCCTTCCTCTGAAAGTAGGAAGGCACCCATTAGAGGCAGATATACTGTAATTATTTTTTGGCACTAAGTAATTGCAAGAGAAAACATCTATGACTTATTTTCAGCCACTGATAAATAACTTGGACAGGTCCTCTCATTTTATCAGAATGATAATAATGCCCCTAAAACTGCTAACATTTCTCCCAGTATGTGGAGCTGTGTCTTCTTTCCATTATTTAATTAGTTTAAAAACTTGTATAAATGGTAGACGTAAAGTAGAAGAGAGAGTATGTGTAATAGCAAAGATTAAAGTTTCCTAAAATAGCTCTTGCTTTTTTCCTCCTCTAAAACTCAGACTATTGTATCAAAAATTGGGGTCTGTTTATATTTGAAAATGTGAAGGGGTGTGGATAAGAAACTGTTCCAGTTGTTCTTTGACTGTCTCCCTTTCCCCAAGGTTTTTCATAACAGCTCAGTGCATCTCTTACCCCACTCAGCTCAAAAGTGAAAGCATCTCCACGGATGGCTCTTCCATTCAGAACAACAGAATGAGGTCTGAGTTTCAGGCCAAGAATTGTAATTTTGTTGTATTTCAGACTGTCAGCTCCTCGGTAGCCATTTTTAAGTATTTCTGTCTTCAGATTTCTCTAGAAAAAGCCACAGAGAAAATTTTAGGACCACAAGAACTCTTTAGAGGTGACTTAATGCATAATGTTACTGTTACAGTCTCGTTTGTCAATGAACCCAGAGAATGTCTTCCAAAGTAGACATTCAAGTCTGAGATGGTAAGGAAAAACAAAAGTCACATTAATTTTCACATAAGAAACTTTTTGTGTACGATTATAAACTAACAAAGTAAGAAACAGAATAGCATTTACAATATTCATTTGGAATCTTCTTAGACGTGTTTTCTACTTGTAACCAATGCAGATTTGGTTCTTGTACCCATTTACAGTGTACAGTAGCATATGCAAAGCCAAAATCCAGATGCAGAGATTCAATTAGTGACCTTAAGGCAGATTTAATTAACATCCACAACTAACTGCTTTAAACCGTTAACATCTTCCACAAGCATCAACTACTAGGTATTTTGCCCCTATTTTATGTCCCACATCTCCACAGCTCCTGCTAGAAATCTCTTTGACATATGTCCAAGCTTTAAGGACACTGAAGAAACACCATACTTCCACAGAGCTTTGTTTGTTGTACTTTTTCTTCACTATATTTTATGTAGTATTACCATACTTCTTATTTACCATATTTAGGGACGTATCAAGAGGACATACAAAGTAATTAAGCAAATGCATTTGGATCACCAGCAACAGTAATTTCCCATGCAAGCAATGAAGAGGAATCATTGCATTTGTTATGTGATCAAAGTTGTTAAGGAAATAAAGATGAATTACACTGCTCAGGAAATGATGAATTGCTATGCAATCATGACTTTTTAAAAATATGCCACGGAGAAACCCATGATGGAACCTTTTGCATAAATTAGCTTATGTTATTTCAATGGTGCATGGTAGGAGGGGAGCAGAAGCTGGATCACAGTATTTGTAACTTAGGGCTGTGCTTAGACTACTTATTTCAGGCATCCACACTAAAAATAAGTGCTAATCCCCAGCACACTGATTTAAACTGTCAAAATAAGGAATGTTGGCTAGTATGGAGCAAATTGGGAGAGGCCACTAAAAGAATTTATTAGGGTACTTACACGTGGTGTTTTCTCCCCATTGGCAGAGCCCCACCATAAGAGGAGGTTCAATATAGAGAGACCGCCTCCCTGTGGTGGTTTATTGCTGTCTTGGGTGTGGCTAAGCAGGAGAGCTAGCTCAAGGTGGCCACAGAGACCAAATAAACTCAGTGTGATAGTGAACTCAGTAATTACAACTGTATTGATATAAATAAGGTTGCACTCAAGCTCTGAGGCCCTGACCCAGGACCTCTGCAGTAGACACCATTGTCCCTCTGACCAAGGTCTAGAACAGAAGGTCCTGGGGAGGCAGGGAGTTGGTGGTCCAGGGGAATGAGTGACCCTCTCCTCCCTCAGCATCTAGGAGTAAAAGCAATTGTCCAGGACGGTCCTGAGTTCTCATCAGAGGGAGGGAACAGATTGGACCAGTTTTAGGAGGCACTTCCTTTAAGGCTATTCAGTCACCTAGTGGTTAGCATATGCTTTCAGAAGCTCCCGTTTCCTTGAGCAAGTCTTCCTGTCACCATCCCTCTCATGTAGTCTGGACTCACTTGTTAAAGACTGAGCACATCTGCCTTCTCTGCCACCTCTGGGACAGAGGCAGAGTTCGTGGCTCTCCTCATCCCTGAAGCACAGCGATCTTACACATCTGTCTCATGTATTTTTCTAGACTAGTAGTCTTAGTATGTGGAGCACTTTGACTTGGAGCATTTTGACTTAGGTCACTTAGCCATTATGCATGTCAAACTGGAGGAGTCAAATGAATTAAAGTACCAACCACAGAGAGACTGTGCCACAGAGCAGGCAGCTTGAATCATTCTCTGAGATTTAAGTGCATGCACTAGTCTTGAATTCTTCTCTGGACTTCTGAGTTGTTTAAAAGAAAATGTAAATGAGAGGGTCTAATCCTGCAGCTCTTACTTGCACAACACTGTGCTGGGTTCTGAGTAAACACTGTGATGTCAGACCTTATTGGTAAATCTCTTAGGGAAAAAAATTGCATGTTCTCCTAAGACCAGGTATGATTAAATTATTCATCCACAAGTTTTTAAGAGTATAGAAATGTGCAAAAAGTGCCAAGACTTTCATACGTTTCTTGTATCTCTACAATTTGCTATTTGAAATGGATTGTTTTCTTTATAAATACATAATAAAAAATCCACATTAGACATTATTACAATGCAGATAGGGACTTCAGTCATGGATTTACAGGCAGAAGTCAAATATGAGCAATGATAAATGGAAGTGCCAGTGAATCAACAATCTAATTTGCACAGATCAGAATTTAATATAAAACTGGATATTGTTTTTCTGTAGCCTTTCTGCAGTGAATTACTATACACAGACTACAGAAAGAAGAAATTATGGTTCTTCCTTTTTGCTGTTGAAGTATACTTTTTTCAAATAAGGTTTTTTTTTTTTTTTAAGTAAATCAAGCACAAGATAAATTAAAAAGAAAATGTAAAGTCTAGACATATGGTATTAGTTCCAGGAAAATATCTCATGACTTTACATAATAAACCCCATTTCTTAACCTGGATTGCTCTTGCTCCTGGAAGACATACATTCTAAGAGCAATATCATGATAGAGGTTAACACAATTTTATCTTTTGAATATTTTCTGTAAACTACTTTGGGGCTTTTAGGAGTAAACAGCAAGAAAATCATAGAATCACTTAGGTTGGAAAAAACCTTTAAGATCATTGAGTCCAACCATAAACCTAACACTACCACCAAATGCAACATCTACATGTCTTTTAGATACCTCCAGGGATAGTGTTTCAACCAGTTCCCTGGGCATCCTATCCCAGTGCTTCACAACTCTTTTGATTAAGACGGTCCATCCAATCTAAACCTCGCCTGGCACAACCTGAGGTCATTTCCTCTTGTCCTGTCCACTTATTACATGAAAGAAGAGACTGACTCCCACCTAGCTACAATCTCCTTTCAGGGAGTTGTAAAGAGCGAGAAGGTCTCCCCTCCCCTTTTCTGCAGACTAAGCAACCCCAGTTCCTTCAGCCACCCCTCCTAAGATTTGTGCTCTAGACCCTTCACCAGCTTTGTTGATCTTTGGACATGCTCTAGCACCTTGATGTCCTTCTTGTAGTGAGAGGCCCTAAACTGAACACAGTACTTGAGATGTGGCCTCTCCAGTGCCAAGTACAGGGGGACAATCACTTCCCTAGTTCTGCTGCCACACTGTTTCTAGAAAAAGCCAGGATGCTATTGGCCTTCTTGGCCACCTGGGCCCACTGCTGGCTCATAGTCAGCCAACAATTGACCAAACCCATGCCACAGTCTGCATACAATATCTCATTTCTTTCCCAAATACTAGAACTGTAGACAAAACACTATCTGCATAGATTATTGAAGTAGGTTAAAGGTTTTTTTTACAATAACTCCCACAACTTACTATTATATTCTTAATGTGAGCTTCTAGTAGATCTATTTTATAATATTTTTCTCATTTGTACCCTAGACTGCTGGGTTCTTCTGTTGAGCTTTCTGAGGATGTGTCAGTGCAGAAGTGAGTGCTGTGTGACATCAGTGCACTGACCCTGGGCTGATCTATTCCTGGGCTGCGTGGAGCACGGCGGGATCAGCACGGTGGGTTGCCGGTAGTGTGCTGAATTGCTCCGTGGGAGATCAACCATGGGAGCAACCTCTGTACTGTCAGACAAGGAAACACAAGCTGAAGAAGTGAGACTATATAATTCTCTGGGCCTCAAAATAAAAATGTCAAGTGATCAAAGTTAAAAAGTTGCTGGGAAATGCTGAAGAGAGGAATGTAGCCTTCTCCCACCCATCAGACTGAAAGTGCTCACAGAAGGAAGACAGGCAAAAGGTCCCTTATCCCCAGATGCAGTGGCTCAGGGGGAAAAAAAGAAAATCTGAGCTGAAAAAGTGCCTTTTCAGATGCACATGGCAGCAGGGACATGAATGATGTGACACTATGATACTCAGTGAAGCAAATACAAATAAACCTACAGCATCATAGTTGGGTTATTTTGAAGCTGTCTGTAAATTAAAGCATTAGGTACTCAGGTTTAAAGACTGAGCTATAAGAAAAAAGCTTTCAAGAGAAAAGTTAGACATCAGCACCTTCAATGGCTACACCAAAATCCAGCTACATGTATGTTTGTACGTTGTACCGTGTACATTGTTACTTACTTTGCTGAATGTATATTTAGCCAAGAAGTAGTTCTCCTTTTCAATAGTATCTGTCAAAACACAGAGCAGGGAAGGTTGGTATCAAAACAGGGAACAAAATCCATGAGCATTTCACATTAGTTGTTGTGAGTGGCTAATGTCAGGCTAAGATGACTTGTGGGTTATTTAATCTCTTCCTCTGGACTTCTTAGGTGATCTCAGGGGAACACAACATGAGTGATTGCCCTCTCTAGCAGACCAGCTGTTCCCAGTGTCACACCTTTCAAAACACTGACTTCAAGAGCACTCTGCTTTTCACCTCTAATGTTCAACTTAGGGTCAACTCTCCAGCTATTTCTAGCAGGAGTCAGTGCCATTTTACCACTGAAAAGGTGGCCTGAGGAGAGCCCTGTGTACAGACACTGCTTCACAGTGGAGGGCCAGGCTTACCGATTGAATCACCATCGTCCCAGAAGAGGGACCCAGACGCCTCTCCTTGTTCATCCAAGGCGATAACCAGCCCAAATGGATTCAGACGGCTGTTGACAAACGTGTTGAGAAGTGTCAGTGCAAACCTCTGGGCATTGTCCCTTCTAGGTTATTTAACAAAAAGTTCCGAACACAATTTACTGTAATTTTAAGGTTACAAAAAGGCCATGACAGACAAATGACAGCCATGTTCACCAAAAGGGCTCCTGAAATGATGATAAATTCTTTGCCTTGACTTGTCCCACTGAAGTGCTTATGTGGATTAAAGTTTCCCCTTCTTTAGTGGCTCTAATGTATGATAACTGGGCAGTCTGGGAGGCAACTGGTCACTAGAGCTACCTCACTGTGGTCTGGATTGGTTGCTGCACAGTGCTGTTCCCTTCCTTCCCTACTCACATTAGCTTCCGAGCATGGTTCAGGCTTAAAACCAGTATATTACCCATTGGCATGGGGAAATAATTTTCCTCAAAAGACATTTGAGCTTTGCCACCTTTCCGATGGCATTTGATAGATTCAACCAAGGAGAAGGGTTTTGCATTTTCCCCTTGCAGACATGTACTTTGACTGACTCACAGCAGATTGGCATGGCAGTAAGAGGTGCAAAAGCTTTTCTGAGTGTAATCACAGAGCCAGGAGTAGGTTTCAGCTGTGGAAACGATGACATGGGTCATCTCTGGGGTGAATTCTAATGCAACAGAGAAAAAACTGGGATAAAAATACTGTGCTTATCACCTGGGATGGCAGCTGGGAGTTGCAGATAGCATCTTTTCTGCACTTTCTTCTGACTGCTTTTTTGTCTCTCTGTGGGTCTGACCCACACCATGGTTGTTTGGGGACGGGCATAGATGACATTACCTCTTAGTAGTTGTTGTGGCTGGTGCCTGTTTGGGCAGGATGTAGCCTCCACGGATAAACAGAGGAATCTTGTTCAATGGAGCAGCCACAGTAATATATTTCTTCTTCCACGTACTTGGTACTTTAAGACCCTACCACAAAAATTAGTGCAGTTAAGAAAGCCAAAACCCGGGTACTCTACATTGTAACCACATACTGCTGAAAAAGAGACCAAGGGGTACATTTTCATCTCAATTACATTAGTGAAAATCTAAACAAAAAAGAGATTTCAAGGGTATTATTCCCATTTCTTTTTAAACATGAAAGATGATGTAGCCCCTGCAGTTATGCGTATGCATGAGAGAGAAGCATCATAATGAGAGACAGCTAATCATCTTTAAAAATGGTATCACTATTCCATATGTTGTGAAAAAAAAAGAGACACCCTCAGACACTGAGCAAAAACCAAAAGAAACTTTTGCTTCTTCTTTTTATGTGTATAGAGCCCATCACATTTCAGTTTAAGGTAAGTGATTCATAATCATTTAGGAATGTAAACTGTAGATTTTTAAGGACAAGCCTTCCCCTTTCAGAAAGTAATTACATCATTCAATGTGTGAAATTCATAGATGTGTAGACAAACAGCATTAAGTTCTGAGTGTCATTCCTTTCTGGCTTAATGCCTCAAAACCAGGTGTAGGCACGACTTATGTACCAAGCAGATAACAGGAAGGTTTTGCTTTTGCCCTCTGTAAATGCTAATATAACTCACAGTAAGTACCCAGCCTGGGTTTTGGATACGGACCATGTGTAATGGCAAGTCCATGCCGAATGCTGGGAGCTGCTGGGCTTTGCTAACCCTGGGGGCCTGCCCTGTATGCAGGGCAAGGGACATTGAGGCTGTTCCCCGTGCCCAGCCCAGCAAGGGGGATTTGAGGAGAACTAGAAGGAGAGCTGAACAAAATGCTCAACCTTGCCGTGCCACAGTCTTATGAAAAGACAAAAGGGAAATGGTTGGATGAACATCCATATGAAGACACCAGCCAAATGCTGAAGATGACCAAACATCTTTAAAAATAAGTCTGAATTTTCTCTGAGAGCATTTCTGTCCTGCCCACTCTTCTGCCAGTGTAGCTCAGCGTAGTTAACACAACAGTCTGATGCTCCTGGGATCACGTTTCCAAAAGCTCTTAGCATCAGCCTAACTACTCCTGCTGAAGCCAACACTGGTGCTGCAGATTGCAGCAGAGTGCAGTTAGGATGAATCTGAGCACTTTGCGAAATACAGTACTGGGGATGATGTCTGAAAGGTCAAAACTTGTAGTCCCTGAAACGAGAAGAGGCTGGTGTTTTCCAAAGAGCAGATTGTTCTTCATCTCTTGGAAGCATCTTTTGGAAGGGAGCCTTACCCTGCTCTCTAAATATGCCTTCTGTCAAAAGTGATGCATTTGTGCATCATTGTGTGTGGATCTGCATGCACAAAATGATTTGCAGCATTATTCTCAGGAGTACAACTCAGGTTTCTGTCTCTGTTTCTATGCAAGAAAGTGTATGGGTATAAGAACTAAAACATGCAGTAAGAGGGCTGAGAAAGAAGTCTGGACAGTTTCATGAAATTTATAGGCTGCTCTTGAAAAATTCCATTCTCTGTGTCTTAGAGCTTTACAAACCAAAAATAGAAAATAAAGCACTACTGAATGCTGTGTAATTTACTCTCCCAGCTAGCCTAGTGTGGACTTTTTGTGCTCTAGTTTTCTTAAACACAGATGCTGAGGTAAAAATACTGCTGAACACTGCTGAAAGTTATTTTGCTGGAATAGTACCAATTTACATTATGTGAAAAATATAAGAAACTGAATCTTAAAAATACATACGGTATAGTAGTCAAACCATGTTGCTTCGGGGAAGTATACGTCCACAGATCTTGCTCCCTGTAATGGTTATAAAGTGATTAAAGTTTTGTTTTGTTTTGTTTTGTTTTTTTACATTTCTGATATTAGATTAGCTTTATTATATTTGTGCATGGAAACATGTATGCTGAATATTCTAATAACATCAAATCTTGGATATTACAGCTGAGTTATTATCATAGCAGTGGACTAGTCCTGGCTAATCTATAATGCTGAACAAAAAAAAGCCTGTCCTGTTTGGGAGTTTTACTGCCATTCCATGGGATGAGTCAATGTCCTATGATTATTTTGATCTACTACATAGCTCTATGTCTTGCAAATGTAACTGGCTTATGTGCTCTCCTCTAACATCTGAGCAATCCCAGTGAGGTCTACAGCAGCCTTTGCAAGACAGGACTTCACATCTAATGATGGAGTGGGGAGACACCACTGCTCAGTGCCCCTTGTACCATTCCTGTTGCAGAAACAGGCAGAGAGTCAGGTATGGCAAGGAGGAAACACCTGATATTTGTCTTGCTGGCAATGATTTAATGTTGCAGATAAATAATAATAATAAAGTGCTACTAACTGCACAATTGCTGGACTTAGTTTTACAATATGCATTGTATTGTATTGCTGCAGGGATGAAATCACACTAAAGGCACTTTGAATTAATGACTCCTGGAAAAGCTGGAATCAAAACATACTTCCTTTTTTTTGGTCACAGCTTGCTTATTCTCACAGGTTAATTTTGATTCTCAACATAGATGTCTGCCTCTTTGCAGAATTATGGATTATCCCCAAAGTCTACCCCAGGGAGCAGGTGGAGCATGAAAAGTAAAGATGGAGGAGAAGAGATAAGGCAAAGTTACCATTTGACATCTTAGGGATTTTATATCTTCATTTATGTATATACATATCAACCAGTAGAAGGAGTAAGAAATAACTGATTTATTAGAGTATATAAAACTCACATTTGAATACAAGAATTCCTAAACTGGAAATTTGTCTGGTCCTGTGGCCTGTCTCCCTCAGTGGGCAGTGCTACATGTTTCAGGCAAAGTGTCCTAGTGCTGTAGTAAGGAAGGTTGTGGTGGTTTGCTCAGTCTGTTTAGATCTTACCATCTGCTTAACAAATAAATGTGGGCTTAATCTATTAAGTGCCTTGAAAACTTGAAGGAAAACCTCTATAAAGTCAAGATGCTGCTGTCTTCATATATTCTTTGCATTATTATGACAACCCTGGATATTCTGGTCTGCAGAGAAGTGTGCAACCACCATCTGACTCATGATGAGCTTTGCCTTCGTGACTCCCTAAATAACAACCCAGTGTGTAAGGCAGTTCCCCATTTTAATTTTGGTGAATGTCTCACTTGCTCATACCCTAGGACTCAAGTAGTGAAGGGACAGATGTCCCTGACCCAAAGAGAAAGCTGTCCCTGACTCGTCTGTCCCTGACTCATCCTCTCTAAACAAGTGGGTGCCATGGTGCAGTTTGAGGCTGTCACTGCTGGCCTGCAATGCCACAGTGAGGGGCTTGCAGCTCACCTCTGTCCCCTGCTCTGCTAGCTGGCACAAGCCCTGGCTGCCACCCCTCTCCCACCAAAGACCAAATAACGTGTTGCTTCCAAAGCTCTGCTTTTCCCCTCATAAGGCCACAGGCAACCAGCCTTCATTTCATGCTGCAGCCTCCAGAAAATCATGAGGAGCCCCTTATCTAAATCTTCTATCACTTTATATATCCTTCCAATGTTCCTTTCTGTTAATTTCTTTGCAGGAAGCCACACATGGCTTGTCACTCTCATTTTGTGGAAAGGTTTCTCACACATCTTTCATCATCTCACTGGTCTGAGACCCTGTGAAATCTCCTTGTTAGTCATCAGCTATCAGAAACCTGGGGGTGTCTGAAGATGAAGGACTGACAAATGAAATGCCTCAGTGGAGTTAGAACAGCTTTAGATGCAGGAATGAGAATTACATTTTAAATTCACAGAAGCACAAGAGTTGGTTAAAAAAAGGTAACTAGCAGTGGCCTGTTTATATGTTTGAACATCAGCAATGTCTAGGAAATGTATCAGATATTCTGGCAGCATGCTGATCCCAAACAGCTCTAGGAAACACCACATGCAAATATTTAGCTCTGCTCAGACATACCTTCCTGGTGCTGTCAGGAGTCAGTGGTGGGGCAAGGAGACAAATCCACCCTTGCTCCAGCTGAGCAGTGAGAGCCCTGACCCCAGCACCATGCTCAGCACAGCCATAGCAAAATGCTGGTTTGTAAACCTGCCCTATTAGCAGCTAACATTGTCACTGCCATTGCCGTAATGGCTGCGTTTGCCTCTGGTGCCTGGAAACTCCTATCACAGCCCTGGAGATGCTGCAGTTCCAAAATACTGTGGGTGAGTGACAATATGGAAACCAGTTTAGTATCTGCATGTTTCTTCCTAACTTGGGAATTACTGCTCTGTGTGTGTGTGTCCTTGGAGGGAGCTGTCAGCACAATCACAGGAGCATGCGAGGGGCAGCATCCAGCCTGTTTACATCCATGCAGCACTTGGAGCAGCAGGGAAATGCCCTCACTTTCATCCTCCCACCTTGTTTTGCCGAAGACCAGGCCCAACAAAAATGATAGCACCAGCAGGAAGAGAATCCAATACATGGACTGTATTGTAGACAAAAATGTTATGACATGAATGATCGCTGGGGGTACAAACAGGTCAACCAGCTGGTACATAAACGATGCCACCCCCAGTGATCCCACGAAAGATGTTACTCGGCCCACAAGAGGTGGTATGAACAGTGCACTGAGGTTTCCCATAGTTGACATGGGAAACAGCCAAACCAGTAAGGTAAATACATAAGAGAAAGGTGCCCACATGGCGACTCTCACCCGATCTGCCCGCGTTCACAAAGGTCTGACCAGCCTGGGGCCCAGCTCCAGGAGAGTCAGGAGGCCTGCCCTGAACCAGGAAGCTCTGGGGAGTGCACTCCACGGACAGACACTCCTGACTCCCTGCCAGTGGTCCCAGCTTTTATCCCCAAGCAGCCCCCTGACCTTTGTCAGCTCCCTGCGGGACCCCTGGGGCTCATTTCCCTTCGGGCTCTCCCTGCAGGGCCGGCCGCACCCTGGGGGGAAGCTATAAGGCAAACTCAGCACCTCTGGATGAAGGGCTGTGGGAATCACCCATATGGCAACCTTAATTCAGGGGCTTGGGGTTCAGACCCCAGCATTTCACACCTCAAGCACTGGGCAGCTCTGTACTGTCAGTGCTGCTCAGAAAGGCATTCTGCATGCTTTGACAGTAGAGGGAAGAAGGGGATGGATATGAGCAAACATGCTCTGAATGTCATCCAATGCCTTAAGCGCAGTTCATTTCTTTTATTCCAGTATGATGACATTTTTTAATTACAGTACTTGCCTCTTGAAGAACAGGAGCAATCATAAAAGCAGGTCCCCAAAGGAAGGCAGTATCTATTCCATGAGTCTGCTGATCAGAGGTAAATCTAGTGTTGAAAGTGAGATACTCAATGTTAGTTCACATTTTTACAGAACTTGCAGAATATTTTGATACTACTGACTGTGACAAGAAATCTGCTTCCTTGAGACATCCTTCAACAATGCCAAATATTTTTCCTGATTGAGGGAATGCCAAAAGCTAGGCAGAGATTCAGAAATTACAGTTGTATCTACCGTACTGGAGCAGACCAGAATCCTCACAAAATTCTGGAGCTGATTTTTCAGAATAGCAGCAATGGAAAACAACTAACTTAATTTCTCTCCACTGGGTTGAGACTTCAACGAGGAAGCCAAAGAGCAGGACAGAGGCAAGGACCAGGAGAGGGAACACAGAGGGGGGACACTACGCTCTAGGACCTAATGCATTTGTGAAAATCCCTTGGATTTGGTTTCCTGCACCTTTCACAGATTTCTGTTAGAAATCTTTTGCAGGACAAACAGAAAACAATGTTCGTACATATTGTGCTTTTCATCTGCCTTTCCTGAGTGAATGAAAACATGCAGAGTTCAGTCCATTTTGTTCAGTGCATTAAAGTAGTTTTGGATTCTGATCATGTTCTCCAGACTGCTTACAGTCCCATTCGCCTGGCATCATCTGCCAGCTTGGGAAGAGATCTCTATTCCACCATACACCAGCTAATGAAAATATTGAATAGAACCTGGCAAAGAGGACAGATTCTCCTCATCTCAGGAAGCTCCACTCAGCTGGCATAAAATCCTGAGAATTTAAATAAGCTTTCAATCATTGCAAGCCTGTCTCTGAGGAAATTTGTAACAGAACCTTGTTCCATAGTTAGCCTATGTCATGTGGAGTGTGTCCCAAAGGCCCCATAAAAATCCAGGTACTTTGTACCTCCTGCTTTCTTGTGCTCTTCTGCCCCACCCAACAGCCCTGCTGCCTTGTCAAAGATGGCAACTGAGCTGCTTTGCCATCATTCATTTTTGACAAATTCACACTGGCTGTTGCATATTAACATATTACTCTCTAAGGACATACAAATTACTTGTTTAAAAAATTATTTACTGTGTCGAAATGACTTTGCAGCCGCCCCTGTCTTCAGACAGGTTTCTGCTGTACACTGGCTGGAGCAGAGTGGCTCAATATTGGTGTCCTGCTCTAACACCCTGCCTGCTCAGGGCACAGGCACATGCTGCACCCAGCCCACCCTTACACAAACTACCCCAAATGAGCAAAACCATCTCAACAATAAAAAGACACCTCTTTGGTGTTTGAATTTCTAAAATATTGCAAGTGTAGAGGAGTACAGGGAACTCAGGAAAAAATGTTCTTGAAGGCATGCCTCAGGCTCTGCCTGAGAGAAACCACAATTTGTTCCCTTTCTTTTTCTGTCAAAAACAGTATCTCTGTTGGACACCTTAATCTTGGTCATTATTGCATTTTGACATAAAGCTTTGCAAATCTTTCAGGTAGGGTGTGTTTTTTGATGAATTACCTTGTCTTAAATTTTATAAAATATTAAATAATCATTTTTTCTTATCATCCCAATAGCTTCTCTGTATTTTTAATTTATCTGTAATAAAATTATACTACTGATTCAATATACTTTGTTGTGGGAGATTTCAGGAGAGAAAGCTGATGAAGAAATTATGACAAAAGAGAATCTGATCTTATTTACACATGGAAACAAGCATCTCACCATCTAACTCAGAACTTTTTTCTCTTGAAATTATAGTAACCATGAGAACAAATTCAGCAAACAAATGAACCTTCCCATTTTGAAAATATAAGCTATTAAGCCATATCTATGATCTATGAAAGGTGCTTAATTCCATCTCCATGCTTCCTATGGTTAGATGCTGCCCTCTCTTCTGTCTTATTTTTCCCCTATTTAGACATTAAGCAGAACTTTCCTTTACAGTAATCAATTACCACCTCTTGGTCTTTTTGGACAGCTGAGCTACTGGCACGTCTGTTTCACTGAGTGAAAGCCTCAGAGACACCTAAAATACTTACAGGAATCTGGGAAGTTGTTCTTGCTTGCTATTTGAAATGGGCACCTAAATACTTGAAATGAAATGAAAAATCTGAAATGACCACATGAAATAGCTATTTCTTAGAGACTCCCTGCCTAGACAGAGTTTTTATGGTAAGGCCTGTGTGCTTATAACAGCTCCACCTGAAAAACTAGTGCAGCTTTTTTAGCTCTCCTTTGTATTTGTTACAAGTAAGGGAAAGGTTTGATCTAAAATTCCATCATCTGTACATCAAAAACTCTGGTCTAGTCCTGTCTTTCTCTAAACTCCACATTTCTCCTCCTGTTAGCATCTGGGTCACTTTCTCTACTTGAGCAGACCCACTAAACCAATGCATATCAATTAGAAATAGTAAGAAATACTCATTAAATATCAATAGAAATCTATCACTTACCTTGCTGTTAACTAATAATAATAAGAAATACTTTGAAGTCATTTTAGGGTCTAGCTATGTCAACATTAGCAAGTGATGTGCCTACTAGCATGGAAACTGGGTAGTGAAACAGTTTGTGCTGATCTCCTGATGCCTATGCTCCCTACATGCATTTTAGAGGTTTTAATTCCTAGTGACCCCAGTCTAGTCCCACTGACTAAACTCCCATCAGTGGCTGGAGCTCATCTTTCATCTTTGTTTCACCCAACAGAAGTCTCCTCTGGTGCATCTGACACTGCTCTACAATTCAAATGAAAGCAAATTTGGAAATTTGCTTATGTGGCCCAAATGGAATACAAGTATGCCTGGAATGGTCAGAAAGGCTGCTTTAACATCACTAAATAATTCTATATTAGCAGAGATTAGCTAATATTAGTGGCAAAATGAACATGATAATTTCCAGTGTTAACACAAATTGGATTAAGCAAAAATAGAGCTAAAATAAATAGAGCTCCTTGTAAAACATGAGTATCTATAAAACTTCTCCTGAATGTAGCCCAGTTAAATAAGATGGCAGAGTAGGAAGGGGAAGGATGCTGCTTTTAAAATTAATCAGCCGTTACACTGAGTAGTCAAAATAGGGCTTGTGCTTATCCTTTCCATACTCAAATGGTCTGCACTTGAGTGAAATCTCAGTTTAATTTCCAAAAAGTGCCTTACTCCTTAACCAAAATGTTTTTAACTCAAGGGAAAAAGAACATGAAACAGTGCAGGCTGTAGCCTGCACCAATGAGACTAAATGGTGTCAAGAGTTTTGGGCAGTAGCCTTTCATATGTATTATTTGCACTCCTTCTGCTCGAATCTTTGCACAAAGCATTCTAATGTAGAAAATTTAACAAAAGTAGGTAGAGAGCTAATTAAAAGATGCCAAGAGGGAAACTAAATCTCACTTTGATTCCTGCTTCTTACAAACAGAAAAAATTAGTTTTTAAAAAATCCAAGGTCACATTTTCTGAGGGTTTTTTCAGTCTATATTTATTAATCTCAGGTTTGCACCTGCTTCTACACTCAAACATCTCTATCTCTGTTTTCTGTATTGCATTTTTGGACCCAGATGTGGGTTTCATACATAGCATGCAGATGCAAATGCTAAACTGGAAAATGCAAATGCTGTGGATGATTGGGAAATGGAGCCTTCTCTGTATGAGGCCTTCTTGGCATTCTGTAGCAGAATGCAGATTTTATAAATTTCATTAAAATACAGAATATGCAGGTATATTATTCTTATTTTTTAAATGAAAAGAACTGTGTATTTGCTTAAGACAAGAAATTTTCAGAATTATCATTGTTTATTTTTTCTTCACTGGAAGCAAATATATGTTATATTTTACTGAAACATTGCCTATATTTTTGTGCACATAGTTTGATTTGATTTAATTGTAAACCTGTTCTTTTTAAGAGAAACCATGCAGTAATATTACCGTGACTATTCTCAAACAGATACCAGCTGATTTACACATAGAAGCTCAACTTTTTGTGAGTAAAATATGAAAAAAAAAGGGAAGCTTCAAACTCACTCATGCATCAGTGACCGCACCACCGTGTTTCCGTGCACATGAGCCTCGAAGAACAAGGTGTACAAGTATGGCAGCAGTGAGTATCTGATCCGAAGCGTAGCACGGGAGATCTTGGCAAACTCTCCTCCAAACACAGCTGGGTCTTGTTCCTGTTAAGGAAAAGCTTTGACTTGTGTTGAGCATTTTAACAGAGAGCCTGTGTGGAACCTAAGGAGAGCTGTGGCTGGCGTAACGCCGTGGAAATGAATGCTTATGTAGGGGAAAAGCACGGATTTGCAAACTGAAAGTATGAAGAACAACATCCATTATCACCAAATTAATATTTGTGTCATACAGCCCACGGCAGTGCTGATACGGGAAGGAGTTACATCTCCTTTACTTCCTCCTGTCTGACCTTCTCCAGTGCTAAACTGAGCCAGCTAACAACTCACACAGCTCCCTTCCTCCTTCACAAAATTTTCCTATAATCCTCAGTTTTCTCATTAAAATTGAAGAATGTAGCATGAATTCCAACAATAATGAAACACTAAAGGAACAGCAGTAACAAAGTCTTTTTCAATATTTAGTGCTTTTCGGACAAGAAAAGTATTAATTAAACCATTTGAAATCCCCAGTGATTAGGCAAAGTGGATATTTAAGATTTTATTTTACCACTAAATTAATACTAATTAAACGCAATGTTTCAGTTAAATTTCTCCATTATTACGCTTACATCAGAATTAGTCACTGACAATATTCACTTTGGCTTTGAGCTCATGAACCTCCATCCATTATTTCCAAAATTGCACTATATTTTTACCAGTATTCTGACACTGTACAAATATTGCCTAAATTCACAAAACAAACAAACAAACAAACAAACAACAAAACAAACCAACCCATGGTCAGATTTCTTAGGTGATGCTGAGTCACCCAAAATGTCTTATTCATTTCTTGCCATGAACCCAATGTTTTAAATGGTTTTATTGGATTACTTAAATCCAAGTGTATCTTCTGTTACTTCTGTCATTCACTCAACAGTGAGTTGCAGCTCACGGCACACAGACCCATTGCTTTTTTCCTCCTTATTAAATTGTGCATGTGTGATTAATATCCACTCACACAGGTCAGGCCCTTTTTGCATGCTCAGAGGACCAAGCAAACATACATAGATAAGGTACCTCTAATTTTAGTGGAGAGGTAAATAAAAAATATTCAATATCAATAGCAGCAGCTAACACCTCACAGACATTTGTTCTCCTAGAGAGAAATATCTCAGCATATCTCAGGGATCTACAGGGTAATTCCTGATCCTCTCAATGACAGCACTGTAGCTTATTATTCTTGGATGTGCACCATTGCTGAAAGTCCATCACACATTTAAGGTGAGACAGAGGTCTTTCTGGGGGTGTAAATGTTGCAACATTTTTATGATGCAACTTCAGAGAAAACTGAAGGTTAGCTAATAACCTGAGCTCCAGCATTGTACAGATCAGTTTAAAGAATAATAAAAAAAAAAAAAAAGACATTTATTGAGCTAGCAGAACCATTTTATCATGGTTGCAGATAAATACAGTGTACTTACAAAGGCTGAAAGACCTTCAAATTGTTCACAGTTAGAAAAAAACTGGTATTTCTTTCCATCTGTGACAAGTCTGGAAAGGATGGCAAGTCAAAGCCAGGGCATGGGTCTGGACTGACACTGCACTTCTTCATCCTTTTCATGGGCTCATTGGCCTTTTTCAGTCTTTGTTGCTTCTTGGCTGATAATACTGTCACTATCACTCTCTCTCCTTGGAGTTGTCATATATTTGTCTGGAGTTTCTAACTGTGGTGTTTGTCTGAAACTTGCTTTTAAACAGCAAGGATGGTGTAAAATGCCTTCTCCCATTCCTGCAATACCTATTATAGTTACAGAAGTACTGAAACAAAAACTGAAGTAAACAAGAGAGTAGGAAGATGTGCTGACACCGGCTCTTGAATAAAGTCTGGGCTTCAGTAGGGAAAAGATGGAAAGAATAAATATCACCAGCAGTGTGAGAAGACTATTTTCTGTCATTCAAAGAACACAGTAAACATTTCTGCATGGCTTTTGGATGTTAGATACTACATATTTTTCAGCATTTCTATGTCATCTTTATGACATTATGGATGGGAAAAATTTACACTTCACCATGCAATTCCTGCTCTCGGTATGGCACTCCTTATCTCCCACTGCTCCAGTTCACCTGAGAATTGGCAGGTTAATTTCTGAGAAAGTAATACAAATCACTGTTGTCATTACTGTAATCATAGACTACAGCTTTGTGTAACCTTGTTTACTTACCATATTTCCCTCTGCGTTGTGGTTTCTGGAAAATGGATAGAAAGAGCCAAGCTGCATCCAGCGCAAGCAGAGTTCGTAGGTAGTGTTATAGTTAAACCCACAGATATCAGCACCGATCTACAGAAAAATAAAATCCTTGGATAAGTGTTTGTGCTTGTAACTGAGGACCAAAAATGTGAAACCTATTTCTGATGAGTTTATAAGAATGCTCCACAATACAGATTTTTTTGGGACTGAGATTGTACTGGCTCCTAGATCATTAACATCACTGTGGAAGATCTGAATGTATTTCAATAATTCTCTGAATTCTCCATCCCAGCTTGCAAAACCAGGAATACGTGGAGGGACCTCAATGATAGAATACATAATATAAAGAAATTGGTTTTGGATGGCATGCAGTGATTTAATCTGAATCTAGCAGTGCTATTTTTGTTTCTCTTCAGTCAGCCAAGATTGATGACATTTAGCTTTTTTTAATCAGCAGTTCCTCATGCTGTGGAGGCCGTTACTGCTGGCCACCTCAGGCAGCTTGCTTCAGAAACCATCTGAGTTAACTTAAGGTGATATGGTCTATGAGCCAGCAGCTGCCTGAAGGACTTACGTAGGGGATGCCAAAGAGGTTGAATTCCAGCATTCCAATGATTGAATAGTGCATGTCCTTCCACTGAGAGAAGTTGTCACCCAGCCAGTGACCCCCATGCTTCCCACTGCCAACAAATGTAGACCGACTCAAGACAAACGCTCGCTTTCCAGTTGCCTGCTAAGAAATGCAACAAGATCATTAAGAATAAGAATCACAGCTGAAAGAGTCATAGGGTATCAAGCTGAGTATTCAGGCACAATTTTATCTGAAGGAGTGTTTTTTGTCAAGAAATTATTATTGTGGTCTCAAGTCACATGAAAATGTGGCTGCAAAACTTCAACTAATAGTAAGTTTTACTCAGTGGCCAAAAAAAATACAAAACTAAAATCTGCCGGACAAAACAATTTGTTTCAGGCATTTTTAGTCTTTCTAGAAAATAATTTATGTTTCATTTCTTCTCAACAGTGTCTCAAACTGAAAAATTGAAATGTAATTTCCTTTCTGTATTAGTACATTTAATTCAGTATTCTACAGGTTCCTAAAAACTAGTATAATACAGGTTTGGGGTTTTTTTCAGTATAGGATTTATTTACAGATTTGAATTGACAAAAAAAGCTCTAATATCCTGGAATCAAAAGCAAAAACAAAAAATCAAAACAATATCTTCTTAAAAAGAAGTAATAGAGAAATCAAAAATGTAATAATTCAAAATGTCACCCCATTCCTATAGTATTTCCTCTGCTTCTTGTCTTTGTTTGATATATGAGGTTTCATTCCAGAATTAGTGATCTAATAAATTTTTCTTTGCCTTTTGAAAATAATTTTGCTGCATCGTCAGAAAATCAAGGAAGTGCAATATGCCTTATTAAATTTGTGGCAAAATTCCTCAACATAGGATGATCTCTACATAATTACATATTGTAATAGTACATATTGAAGGAACTCAGTTTCAGCTCTGCTTTAATATTATTTGGGCAGCACAGCTTAGATTCCCTGGGAAATCCTAGCATGAAATAATGAATCACTTTGTTCACCTTCCACCTCTTTTTCCCTTAATGAGATTAGATCGAGAGCACTTCCATCAATATTTGTAGTGGTGAATCTTCAGCATTGGCTATGTAATGGCACAGAGCCTGTGAAATGCTTCAATGTTGTTTTCTGAAGCAAAAACCCCAACAACTTTCGTGCAAACCTAAACACATTAACCTTATGGGCCATATGCAGCAAAGAGTGCAATTCTTGAACCATGCAGGACCTACTGGTTCTGGGTTGTGAGTGCACTGCTGGGCCAAATAACTACACAAGATCCCATGTGTTTTGTATAAATGCATTTTGGAGCCATTTCATGCATGTCCTGCGTATGAGTCCTCTCCTCTGTCTGTGCACCACCAATCTGGCTCTGCTTGTAAATGTGGACAACATTGGATCAACTCAGTTATGACCTAGAGCTACATAAACAACTTGCAAGAAGTAATTTCTCGAATAAATTTCAGTCTATTATGAACTATTGCCGAACAGGTCCTAATGTTGTCAAATGTATTTGTGGACTGAAATTATTTACAGAATATCTTGAGCAAAAAAACACTTGGCATTAAGCTATACACAAGCTGATTGCTGATGGTTCAAGTATCCAGAGTCAAGCCATTTGACACAGGACAGATCCTGTTCTCTGACTGCATTAGAATAACTCCTAGGATTGTTTTTTTGTACAATTATAAACTTCTCATTTGTTTTCAGCCAATATCCTGCAACTGATGCTGGTTTGCTAAATATTCCTGTCAGTAATTTAATTTAGTATAATATTTGTGAAGAGTGAATGCAGAAAGGGTATACAACCAGCATTGAAAAGAAATGTGTTTGGGAAACTCAAATGATTCTGTATGAAAAGTTCTTCACCAAAGCTCCCAGCTTTGCAGCGAACCTGGCCTCTGCTTATGCTTTTGCTGGTGCTCTGCAGCCTTGAAGGACTCTCTACATTTGGCTGAGCAAAATAAGTGTTTCTTTCATAAGGAGCCCTGGACTCAAGTGCTGTGGGAATGCAGAAGGTTCACAGTCTTGGGGGAAGCTTCAAGGAGCCGTGCAGCCGTAACCGTCCCAACAGTGCTGGTCTGGGTTGGTGTGGCCAGGACAGTGGCTGAAGGTGCTGGGGCAGATATGCTGGCACATGAAGCTTTTCCTGCTAAATTCACAGGGTTTGTCTCAGGCAATTGGCTTTGCTGGCACAGAGCCTGCGTCTGATGAAGAGGGAGGCTGAGAGAAGTGGGGTTGTTTAGTCTGAAGAAAAGGAAGCTAAGGAGAGACCTTATCACTCTCTATAACTACCTGAAAGGAGGTGTTAGAGAGCTGGGTGTCCATCTCTTTTCTCAAGTAACAAGTGACAGGACAAGAGGAAATGGCCTCAAGTTGCACCAGGGAAGGTTTAGGTTGGATATTAGGAAAAATTTCTTCACTGAAAGAGTTGTCAAGCCCTGGTAAGGAAGATTTGGTAGAGTTAGATTAATGGTTGGACTTGATGATCCTAAAGGTCTTTTCCAACCTGAACAATTCTATGATTCTATAAGAAAACCAGCTCAGGAAGACAGGCAAATCCAAAGTCTCTATTCAAGCACTGCTATCAAGACACTGTATGGTTATGTGCACCCCGGTGTGCAGAGGACAAAGCCCCGTGGAGAGACCAGTGATGGGAGTGTCTTTGCTGAGGTTGGGGCATAGGGGCCCAAAAATCATGCTAAGTCCCATATGTCCTAGCTGGACTGAGTGGCCAGTGAGGTCCAGGGTTCAAGGGCTTTCTGCTTCTCTTGAAAGCTGGATGCTCTTCAGCCAGGCTCACGAGAGCTGGCAAACTGCTTCTGGATTTTATCCAGTACTTCCCTTCCCCCAGGCTTGGCATATAAAATACAACTGCATCAACACCATAAGCAGGCTCACTTAGCCATGTCCTCTGGATGCTGTTACAATACAACCGCTGAAAATGAGTGCTAAATACTGAAATAAGCCAGCACAAGGATTCCTGCTTTGACACTTATGTTGCAGTATTAAACTTATCCATATTTTAGCTCAGTCTCTGCTGGAAAAGGCATAATTTGCCCATTTGATTTGATCCAACAGCTATCTTTCCACTGTCACTCTAACTTCATGGCAACAGTCTGCCTGCAGAAGCTAGTTCTGAGTGCTTCCCAGCTGCAAAAGGAGTTCTACAGTAGCCAATGGCAACTGTGCTGCAATGTAGCTCTGCCCTCCTGGACCAACAGAGCCTGAAGCCAAAATACAAAATGCTGCTAGCTAGGAACCAGAGGCAGGTCCAGAAGCAGCCGGGGAAGCTGCGTGGTTCAGATCCTTCACTGGCAATGCTAGAAACTCCTTTGCTTGGGCCAAGGTAATGAAGGAAAAATTCTCCTGGTGCCACACAAAGCTGTTTCTGCAGCAGCTGCACGTGAGCAGGAATTAATGGAGGGTAGGAACATCTTGCTCTAGTTGTACAAAAGCTGAAGAGTTAAGCCCTACAACTAGATCCTGATTTTAGCTAAGAAAATTAAAATGGGAAAAGATTCTATTTCTTCTCCCATGATACTCTTTTCTTGAAACTTCTTAATAAATGACAAAGAGTAAAATGAAGCATAGGGCCGTTTCGTATAGATACTATTACAGATTTCCAAAGTAACATCAGTGCCTTTTAAAATGTATTTCAATCACTTGATACCTGCTTAGAAATACTTAGAAAACTTACTGGAAAGTCGGTGCAGTCTGTGACCAGCCGAAGAGAGAGTGTGTGTTGTAATGCTCTCCAAGGTAAGTCTTGGAGTCAGGACACAATGTCTTTTGCGCCAGGGAATGATCAGAAATTCCTGAGAATGATACAAAACACTGTAAAATTATATACATCACAATTCAAATCTGTTCAGATTTCCACTCACTTAGGGGCAAAAGCACTAAAGGAGCTGGGAAGAGGAAAATCTGAAGAAGTGCCAGGCCTGCACTGATTAGAAGTTAGCATGTAGCCATGAATATCTGCTTGCAGACAGGCATATGTGTCCTCAGGAGGGTGAGAGGACTGAGTAAACACTGCTAATTAATTCTAAGTTTTATGTCCAATAATTCAAAATATCTCTACAGATAGAACGTATTCAGTAAGTAATAGCCAGAAAGAAAACTTCTGCATTGCTGGATTAAGAGTACACTTACATATTCTTCTACATAGTGACAAATTTTACTTAAAAGCAAGAATGTTGCAAGAAAAAAAAAGACCAGAACCATAAATTCAGATGCTCAGGGAACCTTTGTGGTTGTGTGAAACCATAAGACCTCACTTTGCATATCATTCCACTGCAAGTGTAGGTAGGCAGCATGATTTGGCTCTATCACGGCAAAATTCACAGGTGAACTCAACTCTGGCCCCTCTCTCCCCCTGAGGCATCCAGGACCAAAAGACAGCAAGAGTAATGGCACAGCCCCAAACAGCACTGCGAGCGGTGAGCTGGGACTGGCAGAGCTGTGCAGGGAGGAAAAAGCCTGAGGTGCAGCAGTCCACGGGGTGTCATCTGTAGTGGCCAGATATGCAGCACAGAGGAGAGCCAGGTCAGATTACAGTGGGTATATCCACGTGTGGATGGATTATCCAGTAACCCTTTCTATCAGCAGGTCACAGGCAGCAGAGGCAGCAGTAGCTTTTTGCCTCCAGTAATAGTCAGGGGTAGCCCTGATGTTGCTGGCACAGCACTGGTTCAGTGCTGAGCCCAGGGGAAGCAACATGAGGGACAAACTGTTTGCACAGATGCTGCCTGGCCTTCGATCCCATAATAAGGAGGTGCTAGTAAAGCCCATTTGGTGAGGAAAATGTGATTCTCATCGATCTGCCGGTAACCTCTGTGAAAATACCATGTGAAGTTCAGTGGAATTGGGCAAGTTAGATGTTTGGTTTACATAAAGTGCTTTTTTCTAGCAATGGAGTTGAAAATGTTATAAAATCCTCTCAAAAAATGTAAGATAGATTCTCAAATATTCTTCTTTTGCATGCTTAATTAGGTGCGTGCACTATTGTAATTGTTTCTCCACGAGCAAGTAATCTCACTGCCTAATCACACTTTACTGTATGTTTGCAGTGCATTACTACAAAGTGCATTTCTCTGCACCTGAAGGCTCATTAGCCTCTGCTCTGCTGTGCCACCACAGCTGGAATCCTTGTGTTTGGATCTTTAGACACAGACTCCAGCGTGGCTGATCTGCATCAGAAACAACATAATTTATAGGCAAGTTCCAAGTAGCTTTGGCTGATATGGCTTTGAAGAAGACACTAAGGTTCTGAGGAAAGTCACACTTAATGTCCTAGTGGCACTTAATTATTAGCCCCATAAAATTAAGGTGGGATATGAAAGAAAATGCCACAAGCCTTATTTTCGTGCTTTGTTCTTATTCTGAGTATTTTGTATTCTGCCTGAGTAATACTGACTATTTTACAATTGCATATTAATCTTGAGTATAAAGTGTTTTATAGAAAATTGATCTGAAGGACATCTGGTTTTACAAGGTCAAACCATGGTTACGTGTAATCACGGTTATAATTCAGGTAAGGAGTCTGCATTGACAAAAAGCCAGAGGCACTGAGACTGGGACTTGCACAGATACAGTCATGTAAGACAACAGCGAGCCCCCCAAACCCTGCCAACCTCAGGAAGGTCCTAGTGTCTTGTTGGACTCAGCAGCTTAGGTTCCACTTTACACTAATACCAGTCAAGGCTTTGACAGCCAAGGGCATGCACAATATTGGCATAAAGTGGAATGTCTATCAAAGCCCTTAAACACTGGTTGAAAACCGATCTTCTGCACCTTGGTAAAAAATGCCTTGGGGTCCTGTCTGTCTCTCTCTCCAGAAAAAGCTTACAACAGCCTTCCAGTACCTAAAAGAGCCCTAAAATAAAGCTGAAAAGGTATTTTTTTACACAGGCATCTAGTGTAGACAAGGGGTAAAGGTTTGAAACTGAAAGAGGGTAGATTTATAATAGATAGAAAGAAGAAATTTTGGTGGTGAGACACTGGAACAGGCTGCCCAGGGAAGCTGTGGCTGCCCCCTCCCTGGAAGTGTTCAAGGCCAGGCTGAATGGGACTTTGAGCAAGCTGGTCTAGTCAAACAAAATCCTGCCCATGGCAGGGGGGTTGGGCTAGCTGATCATTAAAGGTCCCTTCCATTCCATGATTCTATGATATGATTTTAACACTGTGAGTAGCAAGAAGACATAGGTGCATATGTGCCCAAGAAGAAGCAAGTCAGAGAGAGAAGCTAGGCTAAAAACACACCTTTCTTTAGCACCCCTCATTGTCCTTACATATGTAGATGTCAATGTCTGTAAGTCTGATTCCTCTATAATGACTCAGACTTCAACAGTAGTTGTCCTAGTTGTCACAAAGCTCAGCTTCATGGCTCCAAAGCCACTTTATAAGTCCACCCCTCAGTCCTTTATTTGTGAGAGTAAAGGGAGCTTTGCTGTTTTGATCATCTTCCCCAAAGTCTCAAACCTTTTTTTTTTTGCAGCTCTGAATGCTGACAAAAATGGAGGTAACTTAATGCAAAGGTGGAAACGTCTCATCGTTTCCTGGGCTTTGGACAATGACAAGATCCACAGGGCCAGTATGCAACAGTTACAACCAGCAGTTTCCCCTCAAAGAGAGCAAACACCAAATTCATAACAAAAACCTCTGCTTCTAGTTTCAATCATTTACAATCTTTTTATAGCATTTTGTCATCCTTCTGTTATATTTATGTTTCTCTAGTATTCAGAGTGAAAAGAAATGAAATTTAATAAATAAAATGTAGAAGTCACATGACAGTACAACAGCCTGAAGGAAAAAAGGGACGTTTCCAATATTTCACTGTCAACTCATTCATGTATCAACTGCCTGCTGCACATTAGCATTGCTTGGGCAGCTGAGCTTTCCTGGGGAAATGTTGGCTAGATTAATTGCCAAGACCATGGGCACTAATTGTAAGTACTCATGGCTTCCTGGGGAAGAATGAGCATGTAATTAACTCGGTGACTGGAAGAGGTGTTCCCATTCCCATGATCCCATAGGCTTGGCCATTTTAAAACCTATTTTTATCCCATTTCTAGTAAGGCAATGAAAATTTCTTTCCTAAGAGAAAGAAAAGATACTGAACTAAGGCATCAGGAAGATGCCACCTTCCCTGTCATGGTTTGTGGAAAAGGCAGAGACTGCCCATCCCTGGGACTAGTGGTGGTGATGGTAAGGCAGAAGGGTTACTCCTTCCATAAATCTGTAGCTGAGTGCCTGGGCCTTTCCTTGATGCAGCCCACTTGCTCAGAGAATGGCAAGGAAGGCCATTTTCCTAGTCCTGTTACAAGGCAGCCCCAGAGACAGAGGAATATGGCTGATGCTTGATACTCCACCAAAGATGAGACAGTGGAGTCCTGAAAAAATATGTAACTGAACAGGCAGGAAAAGAAGGAAAATGAAAGGAAGTATTTTTTTTCTTAAAAATAACCTATCCAGTATTAAAAAAAGACAAAACAAAACAAAACAAAAACAAAAATCAAGACTGCCAAGAAAACATTTTACTTACTAGGAACGTACGGAGGGTTATTGATGTTATTAACAGCACATCCAGGAATTTGGCCTTTTAAGAAATTGGATGGTTCATTCATATCCTTTAATAAAGAGAGTAAGACACATGTCAAAAGCCTAATTTTTTTTTTTTTTTTTTTTAAAAGAAGGGAAGGCAAATATAATGAGACATACAATCCAGATCCCATCATAGTCGAGGACATCCTTAAGCTCCAGACACATCTGGGTCCACCACTCAACTGTCCTGGGATTGGTGTAATCAGGAAACACTGAATCTCCAGGGGGCCAGGCCTAGAGATCACAGAAAAAAAGATTGGTTATCTTCTTGTTTCTGTTACACAGCTGCTTTATCACTTTGAAGCAGCACTAGACCAAATCCATGAGAGAATTTCATAAACCAACCTTTCCAACAGCAGGAGTTACACCATCGGAGTTGTTCACCCAGACTCCCATTTCCTCTCCAAGCTCATAAGGCCTGTAAGTGCCTGGTTCTTCATCCTTAGCTATGAAAGGGTCCTGAAAACAATGATTACACTTCCATTTTCTTAGTCCTAAAGGTAACAATTAGTTTTCTATTTGTAAAATTTAGAAAAATTTGGATTATGTTCTTGATGCAGATTGCAATAATTTTAGAAGAAAATAGCATTACAATTTAACAAGACTTAAGAGCACAATAATGAAGGAAAAGTCATTAAAGGTATTTTGTGAGTGATCCTTGTATAACACAAAAGTGATGTGAAATTATTCAATAACCTCATGTTTATTTTTATGAGAGATTCTATGTTTTTAAAGAGGCACTAGATTTTACTTTCCTCCTGCCAAGGTCTCCACTTGGCAGAGCGGGGTGCCATGCTGGGCATTCCCACACTTGGACACCTCTGTGTTTCCTCCAAGGCAATCCTCATTCTAACTGCCCCAGCATCAGCAGCTCAGTGCTGGAATAACTGAAACATTTAGAGGGGCTTGAAGCTGGGAGACATCCAACCTCAAAAGGACCTCATTAGCCCTCCCTTCAGATTCAGAGTCAGACAAGGGTGCTTTATGCCTGTCTGGTGCAGAATAACCCAACTCAGACGTGCCTGCGGGGCCATACGTCTCTGTTCTCCCCAGGCACGAAGACCTCAGCGTTTTAGACCCTATAGCTAGTCCTTACTAACCCTTTCACTGCTTGGGCTGGTCACCTCCTGCCGTTGCTGCCAGTGACATTGACACCACCAGCTTCTCTGCCTCAGGATGGCTATCAGTGTCCACCAAGTTCATCAAAAGGGACAACATAATCTGTTCTTGAAGAAGATGGTAGCCCATCACGCCAGTAAGTTATAAAGTTAGGAATACTTTGAGATGCCAGTGAATGAAGAGATACTGTTCAACTCTGTTCAGCAGTCAGCTGGAACTAAAAGGAGGTAAGTGTGCTTTCCAGTATGACCCTAACTGGAAGCAGCTATCTGCTTTTTGTTATTTGAAATGGAGGAAGGTTGTAGCCATTTTAGAAGAAGGGAATTCTTTACTTTTCTATTAGAAAATGTTATTCCCTCAGGTTCTTCTTTAGGCAAAACCTTTCAGCTGTAAAATGCGATGGGGAAAAACACCACTGAAACAATTCTTCCATTCACTTATTGCTTGTGCAATAATTTAAGTGAACTTTAATTAAAATGTAATAGAAGTCTGACTAATATATATCTTAAGAACAAAATATCTGGTCCTAAGTGGTAAAATTCTTTAGAGACATCTTTTAAAGCTCATTTTAATACCTGAATTAATTGTCTGATTTACCTGTAAGCCCTCTTGTAGCTAAAGCCCTGGTGAGGAAATTATATTCTACCATGCCTCAAAAAACAAAAGCCCCTGCTAACTGCCTAGATTAAGTGCAAAATTGTGCTCAACTTTGCCTGTCTCGCTCCAGTATTACCTCCATAAAAAGTACAAGTCCTTTACATTTTTAACTTGTTTTATAGTTCAGCTTTGGAAAAGAGAAAAAATGTCCATATGCAATAACTATCTTATAATTGTGGAAAAGATGTCTCTCAAGGGATCTGAAGGCTGGAAGAAGTCATCTTTATTAGCTTCTCCTAATCCAAACTTTTTGTTTCCTTCAGCTGAAAGGTTATTTTAGTGCATATAACTAATATATTATACAGGTTTAGTATCGTATTAAGGAGAACAAAACCCTAATGTGCATTCATGGGCTGTTTGTGGGGGAGGAAGTTCATGTCTGTTAAATGTTCCCCTTAACTCATCTTTTTATCAGCTCTTGGATAGGAGGTGCTGAGCATCCTTAACTCCAACTGTCCTGAAACCTGGGAGCACCCAGGACTTATCCAGACTGATGCGCTTCCACCTAAAGCCCCAAACACGGATTTTGACATATATCCATTAAAACTCATGTCTGGAAATTTTAGCCTTTAGCCTGGACTTCAAAATGTTAAATCTATCAAGCATTATTTTCAATCATGAGCATGTTGCTGTTGGCTTTTAAGTTATTTGTCACTGATGTCATTCATAGCTATTTCTATTTTTAGTGTGAATTATTGGAAGGTATGCAAGGTCTTTCATTAAAACTTCTCTTCAGCAATAATGTTTATCATTTTACATTGTAGTTGTTACTTTTAGAACTTCTTTCTTTGTTTCTAAAGAATCTGTTTATTCTGACTCAGCTGAAGCATGCACATTATTTGGCACAACAATGATTACCAAGTACTAACACTCTTAGGCAAAATATCCCTCGTATGGAGGTGGCCTCTGAAAGAGGTCAGGAGAGAGGAGTGCTGAAGGACTGTGTTTAGAGACTCTGGTAGTAGGGCCATGCTGCTGTCAAGAGACCACAGTCTCTCAGTGCTGCATGCAGGCATGGAAACTGGACTTGCTGATGGCAAGGCACCAACCAGCCCAGCACTGATAGCACAACTGAAGATTAGGGTGCTGTCCTCAGGCAAGTTACTGGTGTCAATACTGTTAGCTGTCAGGATCTGCACTCTGCTTGTGACCATAGTGGTCTGAGATGAGGAGGACTAAACCCATCTCCCCTATATCCATTTACTAGAAGATTTATGTCACTAAGTGAGTGCAATCGGAGCCCATTTTCTGAAATCCTTGGATGGGAGGCAACAACCTGCCACACTGGGGGAACTCACTCGTTACTGTCCCTACTGAAAGCAAATCTAACTAGAAAATTGTTCTTTCGGTATCACACTGGATTACACTTGTCTGTGATTGCAGCTAGCATGGCTTTGCTGTCACTTGGAAATGAAACCCTTTGTACTGTTCCAGCTCCTGACTCAGCTTACGGGAATGCTGTGCATCACTAAAGAGTGCTAACAGTCAGAGTTTGACAGAAATATCAGCAACGATAATAAAGTGAAAATAGAAAAACTTCACTACCGGTCCAACCTATACTTCCCATTAGCTTTTAAAAAAATGAAGAACAAACTGGATCAGCTTTTGCTCTTTCTTGCAAGCTTAGCTAAAGAACTAGACCAGAAGACAGTTACAAGTTAGTGGAAGGAGGAAGTAAGGGCTTCCTATCTGGATTCTCATTACCTCATTGCATGAATTAAGAATTGTTGTTATATTTCTTGCATCTGCCTAACAGCTGAATTTAGATTTATATAGCACCACCTCCTTGCATTGCTCTAGCATATGTCACCTGATAAACTGTAAAGGACTTTTAAAATGTTGTTGAGCTTAAAATCACGAGTAAGAAGATAACATAGCTCATCCACTACACCATGATGGCTTGCCTGTAGCTTCTTAACCAGAAGTATGTGCCAAACAACTGGAGGCATCTTAACTTTGACAAAAAAGAAGTGACTAGCATGCAGATACTGAATGGCAACAGTGTGCATGGGAAGAGCTACACCAAATTCATGGTATTTTGTCGGCACATTCATGGCTTACAAACTTTTTTTCAGATAAACCAACGAATAGGCAGGTGATATTTAATGTTACAGCTGAGAGATTATCTAATTTTTGTATTGAGGATACAAGGAGCCTGAACTGCCTAGTAGTTGAAAAGAGCACTCAGTCCTAACAACACATGTGCTCATTTACCATTTGGTTAGTTGTTTACAATGATGTATCAGGTTAATTTTGGAGTATTTTTGTCTTGAAGTTGCTCTCCATCAGACTAACTTAGAAATCTGTTACAGTTTAAACTCTGTGCCTTGGACCTCCACAGACGGAAATTGTTTTCATTGCTGTACCATGGAGTTTCTCACTATTTACAGCTGCAGAACTGGGACCTTCATGGGAATGTGTCTTTGAGGACAAATTGCTGGCAAACGCTGCTCTGTATAGAGGCTGCCATTTCCATTATCAACATGTGCTTGATCACTTGGGAGGTATGGGGGGTTTTTTATATTTCTAGCAGCAAATGCAACTATAGTTCAACAAAGTGAAGATTAGGCCAATAATAGATACAGAGCAGCTACTTTCAATGAAACTACCAAAAAAAACCCCAGCAGACTGAAGAACAGCAAACCTCGTAACTGTATATTAAGAAGTAAACACTGATATGAGTATCTATGGTGCTGACTAGTCCATCCTCAGTCATATGCTAAACTTTACAACAAATTCTGGAAGAAAAAAAAAAGGACAGGGAGGTACTTCTGACCTATCTATCTACTTGACAAGATATTGTGATTTTTAGATGAGGAAACTGCAGTAGCTCTTGGTTATCTTGACTCCAGTAAACTTCTGATAGACCACCCTAAGTGAAAGAGGAACTGGCCCAAAGTTTAGGACTCTACCGTTTGATCTCTCTTCCCACAAGCCTTTGACTGGATCCTCATGATAAGATGTGGAACGTGGCCCTTGTTTTAAAAGAACTGGGTCAATTTAAGGCACAAACCTTAGTGGCCTGTCCATTATCATTCACCTGGATTAACTGGTCTCCTTACAAGTATGAGCCACAAATACAATGTAGGTAAATGTGACGCAGAGCTTTGTCATATGAGACAATTTTTTTCAGGAAGAAGGAAATATTTCTGTCATTCTCCACACACTGGTGTGGCATCATCTGAGGAGTGCAGTTATGTGCTACACAGGCATATGCATTCAAACTGGGGTACATGTGGCCTGCACTGGGGACCACAGCCTTCCTAGTACTGTGCTCCTGGAGTCTTGAAGAGCAAGGTATTATGCATCTATCAATGATTTCTTAATTTATTTAATTTTAGTATTTCAGTTTCAATGGTCTCCAATTTCCTTGCCACCATTGACACTCACTTAGCAATTCTGATAAAGAGTAATTTCGGCACAAGGTCGTGTTTCTCTGGAGTGAAAGGGCAAACTTTGTTGGAAAAATTGGTGAGGGAAGACAGAATTTTCACTTCTGCCCAAATTAGTTCATGTGATTGTACATCAGTTTTGCTTACAGTTTCAATGTACATTTTCCACAAATTTTCATGCAAACAAATGTCTCTCACACTGATTTAGATAAAAAGTAAATATAAGGCAAGATAAATTGTAGTTGCTAGCTTTCCAGAGTGATTATGAATAGATTTTTTTTCTCCACTATTCAGTTATTTTTGTGTACACATTACACTCGTCTGTTCATTTTCAGGAAAAGTATTGCATGAAAGCAGTCCTCTCTCAACTCAGGCCTGAACAGAGGCAAAATTTCTCATAACTGAGTGGAAAAAAAGTGGAAGATAATTAATGTTATGGTATAGAGGTGGTGCTGGTACACAGATACCTGATAAATGCAGCACATTTAAATATTAAATTTGTGAGAAATTGATATTCGGATCTTCTCAACAAATGACAAAAATGGTAAATCTGCTACAATAGCATGCATGTAGCACCTAGATACTGCAATTAACTCTATGCTGCAAATAGTTCTTATAAGTGGAGAAATAATTAGCAACATCATTAATTTACCAGAATCACAACACTGTGCTTTCCTTCCTTCTTCAGCTGTTGGAGGTACTCTGGCAGACCTGCATAGTTCACTTTATCATAGGTGAAGTCCAGTCGACGTTCCATGTAGTCAATATCAAAATGTTGGACATCCTAAACATTTTTAAAGTAAACATTACATGAGTACTTCATTTAGTTCTGGAGTCAGCACAGGAAAGACACAGAGCTGTTGGAGAGGGTCTAGAGGAGGCCACAAAAATGATCAGAGCACTGGAACAACTCTGCTACAAGGACAAGCCGAGAGAGTTTGGGTTCTTCAGGCTGGAGAGACCTTATTGCAGCCTTTCAATATTTGAAGGGAGCTTATAAGAAAGATGGGAACAGACTTTTTAACAGTTCTTGTTGCAATAGGACAAGAGGTAACAGTTTTAAACTAAACGAGGGTTGATGTAGACTAGATATAAGGAAGAAATTTTTTACAATGAGGGTGGTGAAACACTGGAGCAAGTTGCCCAGAGAGGTCATAGATGTCCCATCCCTGTAAACATTCAAGGTCAAGTCAGATGGGGTTCTGAGCAACCTGATCTAGCTAAAAATGTCCCTGCTCACCACAGAGGGTGTGGACTAGGTGAGATTAAAGGTCTTTTCCAACCCAAACTATTCTATGGTTCTATAATTCTATGATTGAAGTATTTGATATAGAAAATTAAAATGTATGCTACTGCATTTTTAAAGAGTAACTCATGTATGAAATTTATCCTAAGAGACTGGCTATAACAATTGTAAATAGTTGCCAGGCTATATTCAGCTCCTATAAATTTACATGGTAGCAACGGACAAAAAGGAAATATGGAAGTCCTTGTTTAGCAACTGTTTGACAGTGATATGCATCAGAAGCAACATCATTTATTTTAAAAATGCTAACACGTCATACTGCATAACAGTAAATCCACACCAGAGTCCCCTGCTGTGCAGCCAAGAGCAGCACTTGAACCTCATGTTCAAAGCTTGCTTTAAGTGTTCTTTTAAGCATTATAAAGATATTACATAAAAAACAAACAAACAAACAAACAAAAAAACCCCCAACACTTTACATACCTTTATAAACATCTTTTTATTCTGCTGTTCTCTCTGTAGGATAATCACTTTTCCTCTATTATAATTTTATTCATCTCACCTCGGATTTCAAAATTAGCATGGAGAGTGAAAAATTCCTACTTACGTATGGGATGTTGTAGCGGCGCATGCGATCGGCCGTTTGCTTTACAACATCAAGGCTGCCGTAACCCCAGCGGGAGAGGTGAAATCCCAGGGACCAGTAGGCAGGCATGTGTGGGCGTCCAATGGCCTGCAGCAGGAAGGAGGAATACAGAAGTGCAAAGGGATAGATGAAGAAAAGCTATTCGGAAACGCCAGGAGAGGCTCCCGGCTCACTTAAGCTACAAAGATCGGGGCACAGGTATCGCACACCCATGAAATACTCTTTCCTTTCCCAGAATGGCTCGCCATACTTGGCTTCAAAAAGCCCCTTCTCCTGGTGGACCCTTGTCCTCAGCAGAGGCTCTGAGTGACACCTACACTGAGCATCACTTCTAAGAACAACCCAGTGGAAGACAGGTGTGTAAACCCAAGCTAACTTTGAATGAGGGTCTCGCCGAGATCTCGGTCTCTGCACAGAGACACTCATTTACCTGCCACATGCCAGCAGACACCCAACAAGGAGCTTCACTCCACCTGTCCCGTTCCAAGTCCACAAGTCCTTTGGCCAACAGCAGGTAAATCTCTGATGCTACACAGCACAATCAGCTTTCCTAATTTCTCTTGCCCCATCCAGGTGAACTAGCTCATCAGATGTCTGATGTTTATTTGAGCTCTCTGAAGTTTTAATTATATATACACACTACCCTGATGAAATCCAGTTACTTATGACTGACTGCTCCTATTGCTGGCCCACAGCATTGCGTTGCCAGGCACTGATAAACCTCTTCAAGGTCAGTTACTGTTCAGTCCCAAAATTCTCAACTGAAACATGAGGTAATGAGTTAAATATGATTTTATAAATATTTGATTTCCACTGGCTCCACATAATCCAGCTGTAAATTGCATGAGGAAACTCAGCTGAGCGCAGAGGGGAGCAAGGCATCCTGCTCTGCTTCCCTGGTGAGACCTGCTCTGGCAGCCTGGGACAAGCAGCAAGCAACCGTGGTGTGTCTGAGAAATAAGCTGAAATCTGAAACTGCCTCATCAGTACTCGCTGGTATTTTCTGAGGGCCATCTCCTGAAATCCTTACTCTAGTTTTAAACAGCTAGATGCCATGAAATTAACCTTTGTTCAGTATTTCTAACATCCTTGAAGGCAATATGTGAAAATCAAGTAGCTGGTCAGCACCCACGGCTTACAGCTGTTGAATCCCTCAGGCTAAATAACTGTTCCTCCTTTATTTCTTTCTGGCTCTCCATAGTTAGGTAATTATGCTCAGAAGTGAAAAGAAAAAAACTTGTATATTGGCAGCTAAATCTCACCTACTTTAATTCAGTAAAAAAAGGCACTCCTGGCACTCGCATTGCTTGCATTGCTAAGCTCTCTAGAGATCACAACACATAAAGGCACATCTTCCTAGGGGATTTTCTCCAGTACGTCTGACCTGGGAAAGCAATGCTGAACTTGAAATTGCTCTCAAGTACGTCACAGATGCTGGAGCTGGTGGGATGAGAAAACTGCACCAGACAGAAAAACAGAGGCAGGAGAGCAGTAGGGGAAAGCAGAGGATGTTTTAATGTGCCTGAGCTGGGGGGAGACAGGATAAATTGCTTCCAAATGTGGATGGTTTGTGATCAGACAGGTGAACTTGAAGCATTAAGCATTACAAATTGGGCTACACGGTGTGCTTTTGTTTGTTGGGATGCTGCTAGTCACTTCAGAAAAAGCAGGAAGAGGGCAGAACAACTGGTGAGGCTAATGCTTTGAGTCCCTTTGAGAGGGATGCTCGAGCTGAGCAGCACAGCTGCCTTCTACGCCTGCTACTCTTCCTCTTCCACCAGGCTTGTCCCTTTTCACCCTCCTCAACACCTACTTCACCTCTAACTTAGCTGAAGGCCTTCAGAGGAAGTGAGGGCAGCTACCAGCAGCATGCTCGACACAGCTGTGCTTAGCCTTCACTGCAAGCTGCTGCTGGGAGAGCCCTGAACAGATGAAGGTGGCTCCTACCATGTAGACACCCTGCAAGCCAGAACTGAAGTGTCCTGCAGATCATGGCAAGCTTCAGAACAAAAAGTCTGCTTGCTTCTCTGTCACAACTGCACTTGCCATATGGAAGACAAATTCATCTGAGAAGGCAGCAGAACTTGTTTTAGACCAGCCAAGGCTACCAGATGAACTCTGTGAACCCTACTACCTTGTGGTCCTAAAGCAGATGCACATTTTGCCCTTGCTTTCACTACAGTAAACAGAGAGTGACCTCTACAAACAAGGTTAAAAAGATAGACCAAAACAAAAGAATTCCCTAATGAAATAAAATGTTTTGTGCACAGGCTTCTGCCCTCAGACAAGAGGAAGAGGAAAAACCAGCTGATAAAAACTAATCCTGCAGCTGAATGCGGAGCCCAGTGCCCTGGCAGGACTTCTACGTGTCATCCCCTGCCTCTTCCAAGTGGGCTGGGAAACGGGAACAGCCGTAGGAGTGCCCAGCCTGTGCAGAGGCAGCAGGAACTGCTGGGCAGCCCAGCTCCAGGTCCTGCAATACCCCGTGTCACTCCTGACTGCTGAAGACAGCCAGACTGGGACGTTGCCAGTACAACGAGGGACCTGGACAGGCTGG